TGAAGCCTGATAAGCACTATAGAATCACAAAATCACAAAAGGGCCAGGATTGGAAGGGACCTCAAAGATCATGAATCTGCAACCCCCCTGACACATGCAGGGCCACCAACCTTCCCACCTAATGCTAGACCAGGCTGCCCAGGGCCCCATCCAATCTGGCCTTGAACACCTCCAGGGACAGGGTATCCACAACCGCTCTGGGCAGCCTGTTCCAGCACCTCACCATTCTCTCTGTAAAGAATTTCCCCCTCACATCCAACCTAAATCTTCCCTCCCTCAACTTAAAACCATTTCCCCTTGTCCTGCAGTTATCTACCCTTTGAAAGAGTTGATTCCCCTCCTGTTTATAGGCTCCCTTTAGGTACTGAAAGGCTGCAATGAGGTCACCCCGCAGCCTTCTTTTCTCCAGGCTGTACAAGCCCAGCTCCCTCAGCCTGTCTTCACAGGGGAGGTGCTCCAGTCCCCTGATCATCTTTGTGGCTCTCCTCTGGACCCTCTCCAACAGCTCCCTGTCCTTCTTGTATGGGGGGCTTCAGACCGGGACAAAGTACTCCAGATGGAGCCTCACAAGAGCAGAGTAGAGGGGAACAATCACCTCCCTGTCCCTGCTGGCCACCCCTCTCCTGATGGAGCCCAGGATACCATTTGCTTTCCAAGCTGCAAGGGCACACTGCTGGCTCATGTTAAGTTTTTCATCTATCAAGACCCCCAGGTCCTTCTCCACAGGGCTGCTCTCAAGGACCGCTCCTTCCAGTCTGTATGGATGCTTGGGATTCCTCCAGCCCAAGAGCAAAACCTTGCCCTTTACCCCCTTTGCCTGGGTTCACCCGGGCTGATCTTTCAAACCTGTTGAGGTTCCTCCGAATGGCATCCCTTCCTTCCACTGTGTTAACCACAACACTCAGCAAGTTTGCTGATGACAGCAAGCTGAGGGTGCACTCCATTCCGTCATTGATGTCATTGATAAAGATGTTAAAGAGCACCGGTCCCAAGACAGACCCCTGGGGGACGCTGCTCCTTACCGGCCTCCACCTGGACATAGAGCCATTGATGACCACCCTCTGTCTGCAGCCTTTCAACCAGTTTCTTATCCACCAAGTGGTCCACCCATCAAATCCACATCCCTCCAGTTTGGAGATAAGGATGTGGTGGGGGACCATGTGAAAGGCCTTGCTCAAGTCCAGGTAAATGACATTGGTCGCCTTTCCCTTGTCCACCGATGCCGTCACTCCATCATAGAAGGCCATCACATTGGTTAAACATGACATTCCCCTGGTGAAGCCGTGCTGGCTGTCTCAGATCACACGCTCATTCCTCATGTGATCAAGTCT